GCTAACTATCGTCTGTACAGTATGTAAATTAGGTACCATAAGTCTAATACAGTACTGTAATTTTATACATTTCTTGTGAAAGAACATTTCTTATTCAACGGCGATTAAAATTACTTATATTAATGATGTCTACAAAGTTCAGCGAATTTTTCGCAGAAAAAGAAGTTATTAGAAATCGGTCGCAGTTTGCTGAGCTGTTCCGCCACGAAAACAAGCTTGAGCAATGGCGATGTCGAATGGTGCACACTCGGTAAGTAATCCTACAATTTTTTGTTTATAGCGTAGTTTATACGGATTATTCCCAAAAAAAATATACGTATTTTGTCGGATTAGTCTAGAATCGATTAATTTTATGGAAGAAAACCTTTCAATCAGCCGTAGTCCGTAAACTTCTCACGTGTCGGGCTGTGATTGGAAGGACTCGTAAGAAATCGGATTCCTAAAGAATGGAACGTATCTATGATCTTATAGGGGGGGGGGTCGACTGTAGTCTTTTCTTCCATGTTTTTTGAACATAATTGTAAAAAGCACCAGACAGTGGCTTCTGAACAAGCTTATCGAGTGAACATGGCCATCTGAAACCAAGTGTAAAGATTTCTAATTTCAGAATAAGTCTATCTTGATCATAAATTGGACAATGATAGATCATATGGTCGACGGTGTCTAGGTTTTCTGTAGAGCAAAAGCAAGAAGCAGCTTCTGCCCAGTTATACATCGTCAGGTAGCTTCTAAAATTACCATGTCAGTTAGTTGAGCAGTAGCAAACGTTAAATCTCTAAGTAGTGATGAGAACCTACATTCAACACTAGGAAAATATAATCTTGTTATTCTACCAGTTTTACTGCTCAACTACTTTTACTGATTCCACTTTTGCATAGCGTTGTCATAAATATAATTTTTAAAACTGCTACGTGAGAGAGGGATATGAGTGTAGTCCAAATGAGTGTCCTTTGCAGCTGACTTAGCCTCAAATCAGACTTTTTCACTTCTAAGTATGCCAGAATGGCCAGGAAAATATATAAAAGTTATCTTATTTACAAGATTTATAATATGGTGCTGGATATATGTGACTTTATTGTTATTGCAATTGGGATTTAATAGAGCTTTTAGGACAGACTGAGAATCACTTTAAATGTTGATAGACAATGTTTTGTTTGGTAGTGAAGTGGTCCACTGAACAGGTTGGTAGTCAGTATCTTCTTCAGCTTGATAGATGGAGGTATGTGGGAAGTATTTGTACCTTCTAACATATTTTGGGCAAAATATGTAAGTTTGGAGGAAGATACAGATACTTGAGCCAACATGAAGGGAGCTTTTAGACCTATCTGTGTAGATATTAATGTCTGCATGGTTATCCACGGAGGAAGCAGATGACACCAAATGTACCCTGGATATAACCTTGTTTACAGGATGATGATCACAGATAGTAGGGTAATTGCAATGTGGTAGCATACGAACAGCCGTAAATAGGAGTAGAGACTGTTGTTGAGTCTTGATGTTTGTAGTTCTGATGTAGTAGTTTAGAACTTTTTCTACAATACTAGTGGCAAAGGAAGAATCTCTGCTAGTATCAGAGGCATTAGTAGAAATGGTTATGCAGCACTTTAAAATTTGTGATGGCAAACTGTCTTTGAAGAGAGTAATTTACTTGCTACTGAATTTTTACTAGTTACATGACCCCAGCTAGAGGCCACGTAAAATAGCATTGGCTGTATTGCCCCATTTATAAAAAGTTTTACAAGCTTTATGATATAGTCCCAAGGTGCACCTAGCACATTTTAGCAGCATGTAGTTTATTTTATTGACCTTATGCAAGATGTAATTAATATGGAAATGAAATGTGGTTTCTATTCTCTCTTGTTTTATTTTGTATGAAGTTTCTGTTTACATGTGCACTAGCTCATCGATCTGTCAGTTTTTTGCGTCCTTTTGTGAAAATTAAAATTAATATAAAAATGAATATTATGACGTTGATTAATGATAATAATAATAAATAAAAGATTGTTAATAATTAAAAAATAAAGTTCTTAAAATAAATGGTTCATTCAAATTCATTAAATTTTTATATTTTAAAATTTGTTCACATAAAGTCTTTTATAAATAATATAGAGTAGAGCATCGATTATCCAACCCCTGATTAACCATCACATCGGTTAACCGACCGTTCTAGTCGGCAAATTTCAAATGTCTGCTAGTGATGTGGCATTACAATATTTGGCTATGTCTTGGCTACTTTAATATTATTTTTGTTAAATTTTTACGTGTTTTAGCTAGCATCAATGGCTCGACCATTGAAGAGAGGCCAGTATTTAAACGAGACTTAATTTTCTAATTATGAGTGGTTGTTTGTTTTGTGAGCAATAAAATAATTTAAAAATAATTTTTAACGATACAATAGTGACAATTATTATTTAAAAAAAAATTTGTTAGGCTAAACATCGATGAAAATTCAATGCAAAGTTGGTTAATAGCGATATACTAATAAACTAATTACATGGGATATACTAATATCCTAATATACTATACCTAATAATTTTTTTCCTTCTTTTCGGTTATCCAACCAACCTGAGTCCCCAATTGAGTCGGATAATCGATGCTCTACTGTAATTACTAATTAGTTAACTAATATGTACTATATTTTGGAGTTTTTAGGGTTTCATAAAAAAATTTTTTTGTTAAAATCTTTCTATAAAATCATGCCTAAATATTATGTAAGAATAGGGAAGGGAAGGGGATCAAAGAAAATATTACAGTTTCTTACACAAGGATGGGTGGGGGTCTAGAATGGCCAAAATCACCCTTACATAATTTATGGATAGCCCCTTACCAATGCAAAGAATCTTTTGGATATCTTGTGATCATCTGATGTGAAATACTTACATGTATAAGATTTTATCATAACACACTTCACACTTCATTCGGAAAGAATAAACAAAATTAACATTTTATTCTTACAAACAATTAAAACAAAATTTTAAAAACTTAAAGCTATATGTGTATAATAATATAACCTGTAGTAATGACTTTCGTGAATTTCATTGTATTGTATTAATGAAATATACAATGAAAATATAAATTTTATTGTCCAGTAGCATTACTATATTTACTGTAAAACATCACGATATTTCCATTGTTTCTCCTTCTGTATCTATACCTGAATAGAAGAAGAAGAAAAAAAAAAAAACAAAAAAACACAACTATATTAAAATATTCTTTTGCAGTTAATTCGTGTAATACTTTAAAAAATAATTACCCATCTCGTTGAACATAAATTCTTGTTGATATTCTTTAAGAAATTGTGTCGAGCGAGATTCATCCAAAAATAATGAATAGACTCTCTTAACATCCGATATGGCTACTTCTGTTGCCTACAAAATATAATTTTCAAAGTTATTTAATGGTTTATTATTTTATAGCAAAATATAATTGCAATAAACATATTTACTATTTTTTGTGTTGAGTGAATTCTGAATGTAAAAGTGATTACTATTATGTTTGTGGCTTCAAAACTATTGTAAACTGTTAAGTTAGATTGTTGGACATAATTGTTCTAAATCACACTTTGCATTGCTAGGATTAAGAAAAGTGAGAACAATGTAAAATTACAAGTAATTTTGTTTTATTTTTTACTAAAAATACAAATGTTAGCAGTTTTCTGATAGAATGCTTTAGTATTCAATTAAAATTCTGATTATCTTTTGATCTTGTTAAGCTGAATATTTACACACAGAGAATATATAGTTCAGAATTGTCCTTATTTATTTATAATAAAAATAATTTTTATAAATTTAATAATTGGGTAGGCAAATAAAAATGACTGAAAAATAATCAATTTTTAATATTTTTAACTTTTTATCCAAATACATTTTAAGTATCAAATTATTTTTTGTCTTTGATTTTTGGGAAAACTTATATAAGTGATTATTTCTGTAATATGGAACTGAATATTAAAATAATCAATATTTAATATAAAATGTATTTTTGGGAGCTAAGTATATTGTAGTAATTTAAACAAACACAATATGCTTAACAAAATTTACATTAAAACTGCTTTTTTTTTTATGATAAAAAATACAGGAAACTCTTAGTATTTGCAAGAGTTAAGTTCTTTGGAAATCTTGTGACTACCAAATTTGCAAATATCAAATAGAAAATTATGAGAATATTGAGTTGAGTTCCTATGGATGGAGCCAATGTGGCTGAGCTAATGCAAGTTGCTCTAGTAGTAATATTTAAGTTTTTGTGGATGATTCAATAAGCAAATGATAACAAGTAATGTTTATTTTATTTGTAAATTTAATCATATTAAAAGCATTAGTCTTACATTTTAAACTATTGTGGAGGACTTTAACTCAGTTTTTCAAAACTGTTTTATGTTGCTTTATGGACTTTTTTTTATTCATGTTCCTCAAGACTTTAGCATATGGGAGTCATGCTGCCTCAAAAGCTCATTTAAAACTGAAATTGTGCTTGGGAACAGGGTCTGATTCTTGCAACTCCTTGCACAAGTTATCAATAGTGCTGTAATTTTTAAAAGCTTGAAGTGTTCATTGGCAGCTTTAGTTTTTTCCCCATTTACTGTTATCCTCTTTGCTATCTTGCAAATTTTCCATAATCACAATGTCCATTCCTCATTTGTCAGTCAGGAATGTAGACAGATGTTCTCAACATCTGTCTACATTCCTGAAACTCATCACTGACTGCTTTGCCATCTTTTATATTATTATGATGTTGTGAATGTCATCTTCATTGTTGTTGTTGCAAGGAACTACTTATTTACTATGTATACTCTATTTACATAATTGTAACTTGAACTTTGTCATGTACAATACAGCAACAATATTGTCTGTCAAAATGTGGTGACTGGTTTGGTAGTACAGTAGTTACTGTAGTTTGCTTGGTTACATCAAAACTGTAAAGTGGAGATAAAGTATACTTTGTACATGTGCTATACTGTATTGGAAGTATTGTAAAAGCACGTTGCAAATATGCAAATGTTTTGTAAATGGCCTTACAGTTGGTCACAACTTTTCAATTACAAATAGGCAAAAGTACAATACTGAGTTATTTTTACATACAGTTGACTGCCATAACACCGTTGATTATTCTGTTTTATATGAATTCCATGTTGTACGAGTCACTTAGATTTTACAAATACATGAGCCGTTCACAGCCCGGCACATGTATTTGTAAAATCTAAGTGACTCATACAACATGGAATTCATATCAAACGGAATAATCAACAGTGTTATGGGGGGGTCGACTGTAATTAATTACATAACTACACTTTGAAAAATATATTCATATTATATTATATAAATAATGTAAATTATAATTATTTTCATTTTGTCAAATTTTTTTTATATTTTTCTTAAAACCGTGATAAAATGTTGAAATATCAGATTATATTCAAATAAATATAAAAACTTTTACAAATAAATAAAATTTACTTACTTTTCTTTTACGACAAACAAGATTGGCTGTTGTAATTAACTGAATTGCATAGCGAAGAGATGTTTCCATTCCAATTCTTGTAAGAACAGTAAGAGCATCATCACTCATTTCTACATCTTCTTCTTCACATCTTAAGATCAATTAAAATTAAAAATTAATATATAAAATAAACAAAGTATTAATTTAATCTAGTTAATACAAAGTACCTTATTTTAAGAATTTGTTTTATTTCCTTTTCTTCATAAGGTGAAGTTGATATAATAACAAGTCTGTCTAACAGATCGATGGGAAGTCCATGAGCACTCTGATAATTAGTACCACGAATTCTAGTTATGCCTCGATTAGTTGCCATAATTAAAACAGGAGCAAGGTCACTTTCCATGGCACGATTTAAAAACGAAAAACATTCTATGTCTAACATGTGTACTTCATCAATAAATAATACGCCTGGAACGATTTCTGCTTTTCCTTCTTCTCTCCATTCGGCTACTTTGGCATTTATTTGTTCTCTGACTTCTCCCTTAATTTCACCAGTATCACCTATAATGAAATGTTAAGGATCACAAACATTTTTTATTAAATATCAGATTTCTTTAATATTTATCTTTTTGTAAAATATTAATGGTTCCACAAGAAAATCATCAAAAATGCAAATATTTACAATAAAATTTGACTATTTAACCATTATTTTGGAATCATATACATATCAGATTGTGATCAATGATTTCCATATAAATAAAGCCAACAGTTAATGCATTTACATTAGAAATTTGAATATATTTAAATAGTTGTTGCCTTTTATTAATTATGCATATCATAAATTATCAACATTTTCCAAACATTTTCTTATCATTTAAAAATTGATAGTGCCAGAACACTAATGGCTGATATAAATTAATGCTGGATTAAAATGATATTTTAATAAGTTAAAAAAGATCTTTTGTGATTTTTTAAACAGTTAAAAGAAATTTTATAGGATATTTTGAGAATCATCATATTAATTTTAGAATCTATTTAAAAACTCAACAGTTCTTTATAACTTTTTTGGTTTTATTAGTTAATAAAAGCTAGTAAGAGTTATACCAATTTGTAAATTTCAAATAATTGTAAAAAAAAATCCATTTAAGAAACTATATCAAATGTCTTATTTGCTTTAATTCATGAAGCTTTAATGAATTAAGACGGATAAGGTTTACTTTAATTCTTATATGAGAATTGGAATTTTATTACTTAATTAGCAAGATAAATATATCTAGTTTTTTTTTTCATTTTGCTTACAAAAAAAGGAAGACAAAGCTGTCACTTTTGTGATGAAAGGAGAAATTAACTTCCTTTCCCAGGACCTTATCTCTAAACTGAACTAACCATCTGGATATCTACTCCCCTGTACATCCCATTTATAAACAAAAATCCTTTAACACTATTGGTCAAAAATTACGATAAAAAGAGTGATTTCCCGCCATTCAGAGCAGTCCATAGAAATCCGACATTGCCATATTAGACAGGCAGTCCTCCATACTTCAAAGAGGCCATAAACAACAGGCTATTCATGATAGTTTCAAATGTGTCATATCAGTAAGAGTTCCCTCACTCACATTCTCCTCCTCGAACCTTGTCCAAGAACACACCACACTTCACTCAACAAGAAGACCGACATCGAGACCTTCAATCAAGGTAGTATGTCTAAGTTGTTGTAAGCTCTCTTTCTCACACAATTAGATAAGGAACTACAACTCCTAGACAAAAAATTTGAACTTTCTAAACTAAAGTTAGATGAGTATTCTGTGTACATTTTCTTATGAATAACAGAGAGTACAAAACTTTTTTTTTGACACTACATAAGCAATGTATATATATATATATATATTATGGAAAAAAAGGATTTTCTAAAGCGATTTCTAATGACTTTTTTGTTGTTGTCTGCATGAGAAAAAGCGCTAATTAACGTTGACTTGCATTAATAACGACTCAATGACGTCCATTCCCCCTTTTTAATCATTTCTCAATAATTTATAGTGTCTCGAGACTTCATGCTCCTGCNAACAACTGCACACCGGAGTTTACTAAACAACACGTACCTCAGAAACCTTTAACCGATGCAAACTAAAATTTAACAATACAAATGTTTTCAGACCCCTCCTGGGTCCTTCTTCAGGTAAAGAATTATTTGAAACAATATTAAATACGAAAAAACAGTCGTTTGGAACAATTTTTAAATAGGAAAGATAGAATGGAATCACATGCTCAATAGTTCCGAACGTAAAAGTTTCTACATCATATCGAAAGTCATTTAAAATATTTTCCCTTTTTATCCAAATATTGTTCAAAGATCCTTGATGTAAAGCAAAAAACATATCACATAAACACTGACTACCCCTTTACTCTCCTTCCTTTAGGTTTATGATTCACTTAATCTTCTTGCTGTATTAGGGCCTGCCAAGCCAAAGAAACAGAGACCTCATCTCGGAATTAATAGGTGACGAAGTGCTGTATACCCTGTATATCTCTATCTGCTCCAACCATTTGAGATGGTCTAAATATGAGGAGGTGATAATTAACTTAGCATTTGAAAAGTCTGCTATGATCTCTGGATCAGATGTGTAAGTGGATAAGGAAGTGGAACATTTATTATGTTGAATATCACACATGTGTTTCTTCAATCTGATCCCAATGGCACATTTCATTGAGCCTATGTATATTAAGTCCTTGTCAAAACGGTGGTCCCTAAGTGGTACCCTATATACGCCCAGCAGTCTTTCCTCCTTAGACTTGTCCTTTCCATTACATAGAATATCAAACAGAGATGGGCATCTTCTGTAGGCTATGGAGACACCCTGTTGCCATGCGATTCTACTATATAATGATTTCAATAGTGGGTTGTAGGAAACCGACACCCTCATCTGGTTGCCATTTCTTGAATTAACTCTTTTAGAAGGAGCCATCATTCCACTGAACCTTTGCGACATTTTTTGTATGATGTTGTGGTAGCCATGGTGTTTGGCCACTTACCATAGGTTATTGTTTTTTCATATTTAATATCGTTTTAAACGATTCTTTACCTGAAAAAGGACCCAGGATGGGTCTGAAAACGTTTGTATTGTTAAATTTTAGTTTGCATCGGTTAAAGGTTTCTGAGGTACGTGTTGTTTAAATAGAACAACAGTTTGACCGTGACAAAAAATTAGAATATTAAAAAAAACAACCAAACAAACAGCCATAAAAAAACTAAATTGTAATGCAAATTTCCATATTGCTGGGCAGCACAACATGACAGTACAACATGGGGCATAAGCATGACATCAGTGACAGATCTAAAGATATCATAGCCTTGTACATAGTAGGAAGAATTTTTTTGAATTATATAAAATGCTCACAGTGAACAGTCTATAGAGTACTGAAATAACAAAACCGTTACAATCTTTGTGATTACTCAGGATTTATTTCTTCATAATTTGAAGTTTGGACTATTTACAAAAAGTCAAAATTAACTTTTGAATCCATCTTTATCCTTATTACACTACCATAGAAGTAACAGTCACAAAAAATTTTCTGCTTTGAAGAATATGGTAGTGTAATAAGGATAAAGATGGATTCAAAAGCTAATTTTGACTTTTTGTAAATAGTCCAAACTTCAAATTATAACAAAACCGTGTTCAAGTTTTAACTAATAAATGCCAGAAATGTGGACGTAAATGAGCAATGACTGCAAGAGATGAGAGAAACTTGAGAAGGATTGTCGCATGAAACCGCTTTAAGAGCATTAAACATTTGCATGCACAATGCAGAACAACTGGAGTGAACGTTTGTAACTGAACCACATGCCAAAGGTTGCACGACTTGCACTTCAACTTCCATGTTCCCAAGAAGAAACCACCTCTAATGAAAAAAGGACGACAAGCAAGTTTTAGATGGTGCAGAGAGGGGCTCATGTGGAAGAAGCAGGGCTATGGAGTTGCATAAAAATCTACCGACTCCAACTCCGACTTTTCCTTACCACCCGACTCCGACTAAAACACCAAAACTCCACGACTCCGACTCCACAGCCCTGGGAAGAAGACAACTGGAATAACGTTCTCTTCAGTGACGAATTCCTGTTTTGTCTCTCCTGTGGTGACCAAGGCCCATGCGTATGGAGAACAACCAAAGAGGCCTTTGAAAAAAACTGTGTGAAGAGATCCTTGAAGTTTGCATTCTTTGTCATGATATGGAGATGCATGAGTGTAACGGTGTAAGACAACTGTGCATTCTTTTGGAACATGTCAATGCACAGACATATCAAGACATCTTAGAGACATTTATGATACAATCAACAGAGGATTTAGTTCAGGAAACATTTCTATATAAACAAGACTGGTATCCTCTCATACTGTGGAGTCAACGATACCTCGGTTACAAGAACGATAGATTGCAATCCTGCATTAGCCAAGCAATTCCCCAGACTTAAACTCATTGAAAATTTGTGGGGAGTTATCAAATGACGACTTAATGAATGGTGTCCAAATTCTAAAGAGGAACTAGTGACGTGTATTCGACACATTTGGAACTGCATCACTAAAAACGAATGTGAAGCATTAATGCGCACCACATCCGACAAATTGCAAGCAGTAATTACGGCAAACGGCAACGCCACAAGCTAAGATTATTTTTTAGTATTTCCTATATTTAACTCACATTTAGCTAATATTCTAATTTTTTGTCACAATCAAACTGTTATTCTATTTTTTGGTCATTTCATTTCCATTTGTAACAAAAAAACATTTGAGTTAATTTGTCTGATTAATGGATATATCAAATATACATAGACATTGTTTATGTAGTGTCGAAAATAATTTTTGTACTCTGTGTTGTTCATGAGAAAATTTACACTAAACTTTCAGTTAGGTGAATATTCTAATTTTTTGTCTAGGAGTTGCAGTATCTCTTTATGTATCAATTAATTTTATTTTTGTTCTCATTAAATTTTGTTTTGATGCTTTAAATGGTGTCGTTCTTGAGCTGAACTCTACACCAAAGTCTTATCACGAATCTACGATCCTTCCCTCTCAGAAAAGTATATAATTTTATTCATTAGTGTGCCTAATGCTCTAATTAGGCTGGTGTCAGGAAAAACCAACAGGTAGATTGAACGAACTACCTGTCACTCAAATCAAATACTAAAAACCCATCCTAGTGATCCTGCAGACGGATCTATTCGATCTGAGATCAAACAAGGGTGAAAAATGAAGCTTTCTTCACCCTGACTTCCCACACTTATATATTTTCAAAAATTCCGTTTCTAAAGTATAAGGAAATCTTACTCATTATAATAAAAATCATTACAGTTCTATCATATTTTATTTTACATTATTTACTCTTCAAACATCATAAAAATTTGTAACATCTATTAATAATTTATTTTCTAATTTTGTCTTTAACTTTAGCATTCTGTAATAAATATAAATGAAGATCTCTCCACTTGACAGTAACTGACACCTGAAGTTCTAGTGAAGGTTTCCTGTATGTTATACAGGAAAACCTTCACTAGAAACCTATTTCCCATT